CATGATTTCACTAAGAGAAAAATCTTGTCTTACAAATGTTTTGATATTCTTTGAAAAGGTTACTGCTTATGAAGATGAAGGCAAAGGTGTAGATTTGGTGTGTCTGGATTTTCAGTTTGACAAGATGCCACATAAAACGCTTGTAAAAAATTATCTCTATAGGGTGTGGAGGATAAGTTAGCAAATTGGATAGAAGAGTGGCTGGATGGAAGAAAGCAGAGGGTTTATACAAATGGAGTTCAGTCAAACTGGATTAATGTCACAAGTGGGGTTCCTCAGGGTTCAGTCTTAAAAGCTTGATAAGTATAGAAATGATAAAGGCTGGCTCTAAGATTTTTTTGTTAATTATTTTAATTTAGTTAGAGGATGGAACAGCCGAGATGGACCAATAGGTCCCGTGTTGAATGATAAGGGCTGGCTTTAAGATTTATTTGTTAATTATTTCAACTTAGTTTTGAGGATGGAACAGTCGAGTGGACCAATAGGTTTCATGTTGTCCCAAAACGTTATGTTATGTTAAATTTAATTTTGCGAAAAACATTTTTATTATATAAACCGTAATTTTATAATATTTTTATGAGACCAAAGTTTTCTGTCCTTCGATAATCTATGAGATTAAAACAAGCATGTGGCATTCGAGGCAGTAAAACATACTAAGGATATCCGATAGGTCAGCGTTGAAGAGAAGTTCAATTCTCCCTCAGTATTCAGAAAAGCTTCCAAAAACATAAAGCCCGTTTTCTAACCAGATCTACGGTAACTTTTACGATATATCACTGGTTTCTGACTTCACAAAAGTGGGTTTTTGTTCTACTATTGTTTTTATTAGCTTTTCTCAAACTGGGGTCCGCGAGTCATGTCAGGAACGGGTCAGCGATAAGTTTACATACTTACAACGCTAAAATCTGGGGTTCAGTTAACTGCGCGAACAAAGCGCAATTAGCCTCTTGTGGATTTTGCAATAAAAATACAACTTCATTTCAGTGGACAATTATTGTTTTAAGGGAATAGTGATGCTGATGCTGATGTAATTAACTTATTACAAAACAAGAAAATAGCTCTTAGCTCCAAAACACATGAAAGAAACTTGGAAAACAGAGTTAAAAGATGGGAAAGACACATTTTAAAAGTATTACTTATAGCATTTAAAGCCTTTTAGCAGATTTATCAATAGCAAGACCAAACATTATATGATATATACGGAAAATATACATAGAAAGTAAAATATTTTGCCCGTCAAGTTTAGATATTCTGTGTTCTCTCTCTTCTCCAGTTTTAGATTCCAAATTGATATAAATACATATAACAAATACAAATCAAAAACTACAAAAAAAAAAAATACAACTAAAACTAACATAACAATCAGTAGCTCATACGTAAAGGTTTCTACTGTGTTAATAATAATAATAATACGAATAATTAAAAAATCCATGGAAATTACATTCGTGTGAATGTTTCATAATAATCGCTCTCATATGATTTATAAATCAGTGACATGTAATAGTAATAGATAAATTTAATTAATTTCGGTTACATTTTGCAAGATATACTACCCCACCCACTTCCCCATCTGCACAATATATATGCTGCCGCTAGGCCTGATTAGCATAATTTCTTTATTGTTTGTTTGAAGTTATGCACAAAGCTACACGATGCACTATCTATGCTCTGCCCACCACGGGTATCAAAACCCGGTTTTTAGTATTAGAAGTCTACAGACCTACCGCTGAGCCACTGGAGGAGGGAGCACACAAAGTGTAGAATTCAAAATTTTTAAATGCTATGAACCAAATATATTTCGAATTGTTTGATTTTTTTATATTAAATTTTTCTTGTACTAGTGAAAAATGTAAGGCATAGCTCAACCTAATTAATTATTTTACCAAATCCAATTAATTATTCTGAGTCAATATTGTGGTGTATATTTTCCTTTTTGTGAGTTGTTTTTATATCGATATGTGTGTGTGTGTGTGTATGGGTGTATTCTACAATGAAGAATGTTATATTGATCCAACTCTCTTTTATTTACTTACTTTGTTGTACGCCAAATTAAACTGAGTAAATTTTATTGCGTAACTTACTTTCTTGCTAATTAGAAAAGTCCTTCCCACCCCCAACAACTTACAAACCTCATATGATTTAAAATTCGGGCATTCTAATTCGATATTTGGTTATTCATAGTTAGTTCTGAATATTTTTTAACGTAAGTATAATTTTATCGTTTTTGTTGAGTACTGAGGATGGAAATATCGTTATTCTGAACTGTTTAATAAACAAGCTTTGTGTCCTGTTTGTATTTTGATATGTATATTATATTGGCCATACACGTTTATTTTGCATCTTGTTAATAAAAGGGTTAAAGAAATCCACAAATTCAC